CTTATGCAGAATGAACATTTCATCCATGCTCTATTCGTTATAGTTAATTTCTAATTAATATGCATTCTTTCTTTGATAATCATATACGAGATTGATATATAATTTTTATTCAGCTGATGGTTTCGTCTTCATCAGAGCCGATGATCCGAGTCGATGGTCTACAGTCGCTCGTGTTCTCGATGTGGCGTCTCTATAGATAGTAATAGATAGATAGATAATAGATAGATAGATATAGATATAATATTCTCTATAGATAATGATATTTATTTATTTTCGGCTAATAGCCGTTATAGAATATCATTATCATTATCTATAGAGAACCTCTCTTGAAAAGTTCTCTACCTATCTAAATAATAGTAGTTGAAGTCCAAATATGGCCGCCTCGCAGTCGCACATTAAACACCGCAATGTAACCTTTGTAATCTTCTCGATCAATTATGTTCAGTGTTTCAGGCACAATAACGATTCAGGTTTGACTTCAGTAACATACCGACGATAGCTTATCCGAAGGAGGCGTAACAGTGGAACAGTTTACTACTTCCTTGCGAAACAACGAAGCTAATGACGTTTAATGTTTCAGGCAGTTAGGTACAGTTTATTGCAGTCCAGGATCAACAATCCAGATTAACCGCGGTTGCATACGCATGCGGCTCCCGCAGCCGATATAAGCCAGGTGCCTTCGACGGCGGAGACATGCCATTACTCACCTTACCCCCGATCGGTAGCGCGGATAATCTGCTCCTCACAACATCATCCTCATTCACCTCAACTCATTCTTAGTCATACTCATTTATTCTTATTCAATCACATTCATTCACACATTCACATTCATCCTTCAGTAATCAGCAGATTATTGTACCTTGTTTCTCAGCTTACCTACGGTGCGATGTCAGTAGTGGCGGGTATTTCCAAATGCGCTCTGTTTGCAACGCCATCGGTGGCATGTACCATTCCTCCCACAATGTACGCAATGTGTACAATGCCGCTAAGCGGCCAACTTATGCTATGTATTCTGCTAAGCCGCTCACGGCTAACTAACGGCTACTTCGTTGTAATCTCATTATTATTGTTAATATTGTATTAATGGTACAATAATGTTTGAATGCCACGGTCTCATTGTTAGCCTCACTACAGCTGTTAGCTTCACTACAGGCCTTAGCACCTCAAAGCTCTAACTTGTGTCATTCCTCTACCATTACTTCTCTATCGTTACTACTATGTAACTGGTTTTGTATTTGTGCATTAAAGGTTTAATTACCCTAGTTTGAGGCTGATAGATCAGCTACAACAACTAAAAGACCCGCGTGGCTAATATTCTACATCAATCTGAACCGCTACACTTCGCCGCTAACCATTTCGTTACAGGGGTTCGTTCTTCGCACGCTGAGCCAAGCCGAGGAGTTGGACATTTCTACCAAGAACACCAGGTAGAAACTAAAGCTACGTCAGCAGAATCCGGCGAACCCATATAGCCATGTTCCAGTCAGAAACACCCAAAAATGGCTTCGTACCAAATGCTTGGTGGTATGTTTCACTCGAGTCATTTGCTAGATAACGAGATTACGAGTCATAGAAGTACATTAGACCATGCATTATTTAAGTTTTACATATACTTTTTATCACTATTTGCTAAATGACCCGACACTAATGTATCAAACTGTGAGGATCCTCGCACTTTTTGCATGTGACTAGTTTGCTCGCAACCAATATCCGCGAATTCAGCGTGAATGTCGCTGAATGTTGGTCGAGCAGATCTCCTCTGGAATCTTAAGATAGCCGTGCTAGAGTCTTCTCAAATGGACTAGAGAAAGTGCTCTTGTTCAGCGAATGACGATGGTTTCTCAATCATCAGAGTATTTCAAGAGCTTAGAGCCTCATAAGCTTACAGAAGAGACTTTGCTTCGTGGTACTAAACCCATATATATTTTGCACATGGTATGTTTTCAGTAAGCAGTTCTTCACGATGAAATCAAATGCTGATGCCATTTAATAATGATGCCAAATGCCGTCATCAAACAACAGTACGAACCTCAGACGATCTCACTGCAAATCTTTTTCATTTCTAACGTTTTGTTGGTTTCGCCTTCATCAGAAAAACAATGATTAGAGTCCAGTGTCCACAACAGCTGGTTCTTGCGATGCTGATAATATTAATCCAAATAATATGTAAGCTCGTGTAGCATACTGGTTAGAAGTGCCCTTAAATACACATAGGTTCAATCCCGCGCTCCATGCTCACGACACCTTCCATTCTTCCGAAATTGGCAAATTGGTGGCAGATCTGTCTGGGGGGATAGCAAAACTGATTCGATACGTCAGTAGCCTACCTCAAGTCACTGTATAGGCCAGATATACATTCAATCACTTCTAATTATGTTAATGAAGTCGAACACATGGCGTATCCCTAAGGGTCATGGATCAACGCCGAATGCTTAGTCCTTTATCCTTTTAATATGTAAGCTAATACTAATCCGATCGCTGTGAGATGGATCATCACTACAAAAAAAATAAAAGAAACAACTTTAGTTGACAAGCCATACATCATCCTATATCCAGGAGGACCGACCGGTCAGCACCCGATCACTCCAACGCGGCCAAAATGTTGACAGCGCTGGGGACGGCAATTCATTGGTGCGATGCCCACGTAAACATGATTTGCCCACGAGACGGCCACGAGGAACGATATTGCATGAAGAACAACTGCTGCGGAGATTCAGCTCCAATGATCGTGGCTCTGATGAAGTCGAAACCAGCAAAACGTTAGTCATAATAAAGATTTGTAACAACCTCATGTAAGCTCATCAATAAAACAAACTATCGATTATTAATCCCGAGGACGAGTGAAAATTACTAGTGACCCAATATAGAGCAATGGACGATCTTGGGAACCTTTATTTAAAAAGGCTGTCTCGCGTCCGATATTAAAGCTTTGATTGTTGTCAGCAAAAATTTTATGTCATCTAACAGAAAGAGTTGTATCGACTCATCTAATAGGACATTTACAACCACCGAAAAACAGCGTTGGATGGCACAATGAATTATGAAAGAGACTCGTACAAAACCACTCCTGAAATTTCCTGCTTCCATTCCTGCCGACAAGCCACTTTACACAACTCCGCGATCTGATCATACAAACATTCACAGAACACACAGCAATACGACAACCGTAGTTAGTGACTTATTTTCCAGATCCTTTCCTTCCAAAAAAAAAATCATTTAATGAATACTTACTTGACACTTGGATACTTGGATGGCCTGTCTTCACTGGTTGTGCAGGCCCCAGCATAATTTCCGTTTTTTCGGAGTTTTGATAGTACAGCCGTTGTGGTTCCCTGGAGTGCAAAGTTCAGCGTGGCCAAACTCCGCCCCAGGCCTTCACCACCACAAACAGCCGACGGCCTTTGTGGATCAGAAGGAGATTTGCCACCATGCAACTAATTTCATACCAGGACGGTGGTGAACCCCGGTACTGATTTACTCCTGTTCTAATGAATAGAAGTAAAAATGGAAAAGTAGTCACAATCTAAATCTAGAAATCTTTGCTTACGGGATAGAAAATCTCTTGTTTTACCACGGTAAAACTCCGATTTCGAGGGACTCACGACATAGATTTCTTCCATTTTTTTCCGTCAATTGATATTTCACTAACGAAAGCAAACGAAAAAGTGGTATTTCGTCGATCAAGACAATATGATGTTCTCCACCGAATTGCTGAGTTCGCAGCTGCTGTTCTTTTGTTGGCAATTTCAAAAACTTGGGTAGAAAAAGGAATGAAGTATGAAAAAGAACAATGTGTAAAGATTATACATACGATTATACGATTAATGCGATAAATCAAAGTCTCTTCTATGAATCCGTAAAGCCCTGATCTACTGAAACACACAGTATTCGAGAAACTACAGTCTACTGTCGAAAAATGAACATCGCCGTGAAAGAGGGGTTAAGCTAGCTGGTTTAGGGCTAGGGCAACCTAAAAAAGTTATAGTGCAATAACAAAACCGAACACATTTGTCTGTTCTGGAAAAATAATCCGCAGATTTGCATTAAGTAGACATTTTAAGTAGATTTGCTGCATACGGAACGCTTCCCAGTCCGAACTACGCCAATCTGATCTCTTTTTTCTAGAAATTATTCATGGAAAATCGAAGAAATGAAAGGGTAAACCTTCGATGGAATCGGTCTGCAAAAATGATGACGTTAAGTTATGAGCTTCTTGACCACTAGCCATGGCTATTTCGCTGAAAATGAGACCGATAACAAACTGTAAGTGATGATTCCACGTGTGAAGTGTTAACTGGTATAGACAGTATAGAAAGAAACCACATCATTACAGCACAAGAATTTGCGACTGGACGACAACCTCCGAGAAAACAACGAATCGTTCGTTTCGTCACAAAAACGAAGACTTGTGATGATCGTTAGTATATTTAAGTTAGAGGCTATGTGAAAAGATGCAGTTGAGCTGAATTTAAATATCGATCAGAAAGCGAATCCAGAAGAAGATTGTTGGGTGGGAGAGTAAAGCAACAGGAACAAAAAGAGTCTTGGATAGAAGAGAATGTTCATAATATTCATAGGATTTTCTTCTCCATTGTAAACTCATGTTAGAGACATGGAGAGGATAGAGGATGAGCAGAACATCTCAGTGAGAAACAGAACAACACCTCAGATCTTTGGCTCACCCGACCTTTGACCACGCCCTCCGCAGAGGTCAGCGAAGGGAGCCGTTTTTCCGATTCGGACCGGGAATTACAACCAGACGAATGAGGTGGATGTTTTCAACTACTATACCAGTAGTCAATACATCACACAAAATCCATTGACTCGTAATTGAATTTCAAATGTACGACAAATGAAATCATAATAAACAACAAAATACGCTACTGAAATCAACGGTGGCAATGATCTTGAAATAAACGAATCACGAAATAAACGACCACGATAGGGACGCGGATGGCGGAACTCGTGCTCAGACAAGGGCGGTGGGGTCCTTCACTAGGATGCTCGGGGACGACGGGACAAGCCGTCGATCAATAATTGCTCCCGTACAGCGACGCAGAGCGTCAACAGGGGAACAGTGGAAGTCGTCGGCGTGGAACCGGAATCTGGCAAAAACGTCGGCGATCGGCGCCCAGGGCGTGTCGTCCGACACGCCGGTGGTTTCTTTGCGAAACGTCGACTGAATCATGGCCTGACCGTGGATTGCGGGCGGGCAACCATTGCCACAACATCCACACTTGCCACCTATAACAATGGAGAATGTATGATATTAGTCCTCATGTGGTCAGATGTCTTTCGCCCGAACTTCTTTGCCTTTTCTGCCTTCTATTCATCAAGTTTGTATATTTTTACAGCTCAGAACTAATAGCAAAGTATTGACAATATTTTGAAGTATGATAATACTAGTACTAGCTATGATGTTATTACTAGTAATCCCTCCCACTGAGATGTTTAGTGCTTCATCTTGATTAGAGATGTCCCTGGGTGTCATAGTGGAATGTACAATGGTTTATTATTGTGCAGGGTCAGTTATTCTGTGAAAGATTCTGATAATTACATCCAGAAGCCAAGCCAAAGTAAACTAACACCATGGCAGGGGCACCCGTGGATACTTTATCACTAAGAGCAATAAAACAAGTGCGTTCTTCAGAAAGTGTGTTGCACTTTGTGCCGCGTGAGCAAGTGGACCACCACTAAGTAGCTTTGGAGCTTGATTTCTCGGCAGCAGTGGCACTACCTTCGTACGAAATACGTCTAAACGTACTCTATACGGTCATATAGGACAAAAACACAATGTACTTCGAGGGATAAAAATTTGATCGTAAAATTTGCACTATTCCATCGCGAACGGTTTGATTACCACATGCAATGTTGATACTGCGTCCCGTTTCTGAGGCTTTGCATCAAGGTTTGAACTCCTACAAAAAACGTCGAGCTTCCTTTTTCTTTTTCTGTCCAGAATATTTGCTGAATCGCGATACGTGAACGACGCATAATCTTGGCGTTTATATTCCTTATTCAAATTTTTGTGTTGTTTCACTCATTGTTTACTATTGCTGTACAGTTAAGCCCGGCCGCTAGAAGCTCCGGAATAGAAGTAGTGGAGACTACACAATTTCGATTATCATGTTTGCAAAGCAGAACACGAGTGAAATTTGTTGTGGTGACATCTCCACCATCTGCAATACCAGTGGAATCGCTCCTTAATAAGATTTATGAACTCTATGCTGACTATGCGTTGAAGAATCCATTTTATGCCATTGATATGCCAATCAAATTTTTGTATTAAATCTATAGCTTTCTTTTCACGTATGTTATACTCGGTGTGGTCCAAGAACAGCTACTTTGTAGGTGCCAGTGTGGACATAAAACATCTGTAAGACCGAATTATTCCTTCTCATGATCACGGCTGCTACGATGGACTGTGTAGATGGAGTAAGACAAAAAACAGTCTCAGATAAAAAGGACACTAAGACATCTGCTGTAGTTGTAAGCCGAAATACGATGATTCGACTTCTGAGCGATGGTGAGCCGATAAGTCATTGAGAAGACATGTAAAGATGTAACATTAGCATAAATATGTACTCTGCGTCATCAGAATTACTAATTGTAGAAGAGCGTGGGATTAATTGACCGACGTGTTTTTCCGAGCAGTAACGTTTTTTGGAAACATTACAGGCAACCAACTTTTATTCCCACAAACTTCCATAGACTCTATATACATTGTGCTAAAAAATTCAGTGTCCATTGCACGTCCACAATCAGTAGATATTACCTAAACCATTGTAGTAGAAATGTTTCCTCTCGTGCTTCTTGACAGAGCGGTAGAGAATATCTAGCTGTAATCGCACATATAGAAAACACCGCCACAACAAAATAGCAACAATAATGGCAATTCCCATGACCGACTTTCTTTTAACTTCGTCATTGATTGATAATTCGAAGTTTTCTTCAATAAGCAGACACGAGGTTGTTATTACAGGATTTATTAGGAAAGTGTTCGGCTGTGTAGATCGCATCTCAATTTGACCTTTCCAGGCTCTGAAGAAGGCGAAACCGCCGAAACGTCACCTACTGTGTACTAATAAATTCTATAATAACAACCTCGTGTCTGCTTATTGAAGAAAAATATCGAATAATAGCAATAATATAATGGATGGATTATGCGAATAGAACTGGATAATTTGGGACCAAGGGAATATGAACAACTGAGAAAGAGAAGCTCCAATTTTCCGAGACAGGGTGGATCCCTTTCGAACATGTGAAGTGAGTAAAGTAACTGCTGTAGAAGGAAAGATGCTACCCTAGTAGAAGAGATTTCCAATTCCTCTGTGGTGAAGAGGGAATACGAGAAACTCCTGGAGCGTCGCATAGATCCGTTCTAGTCCGCCTAGGTCTTATAAAGCTAGGAAACAAATTTCGACGTAAGCAAAGACAAGATAACAAGGGCAGTAGTGAAACATCTCAAATTACCCACATATGCAATCCCCACGTTTAGCATACATTCTGGAATGGGATAGTTTTTGAGAACTACTTAATTCATGTATGTTCTTGTATTATTCGAGTTACACAATTTCAGTCATCTCTTGGTGCTCTATGTCTAGTAGTGGGTTAGACTAGTGCTATCGATGTCCGCTGCCAATGCGCTATTTGGTATGGAGAATGTGTTTTATTCATTGTGATATACCATTCTGGGTTCATAGATGTGATGACTGCGCCAATACGTCAGTTGGGCCTTATAGAAAAGGTGTGACCATGCCAGGCTCCAAACTTGGGTAATCAGGCCTTAATGTGGATAATACGAATACAAAAACGAAAAAAATGCGGATCAACACAAGCACACATGGATAACATGGATAATATTGTGATCAGTATGCAAATATAATCTAAAGGGTAAACAGTAACGCTAACGACGATACAGAGGCTTTTGCAATTCATTGATGAAGTTGCTTGAACAATAAACATGAGATACGATATAAACATGGTTAACGAAGAAGAGCCATATCCAAGGTGTAGGAAGGTGTCAGCAAGAGTGACTTCAACAGTCGATAGCGACCTTTATACGGCGTTTATGGAATGAACAGTAACAAATACAAAGTCGATATGGTGAACAGTCTTATAATGCTCATAGTGGGAACATAATGGCAAGCAAGCACAGTGATCAAAGGTATGTCAATCAATCAAGGGTTTGCAACTGATGTGGCACAAGGAACAGAACTTCGTAATGCATGAGAAAATCCAAGAGTTTACAATCAAAATATTCCTGAAGGCATGTCAAACAGTCACAGGTTTGCAGCTAAAATAGCACAATGAACAGAACTTGGTAATGCATGAGAAGAGATTGCGAGAGTTTACAATCAAAATAGAAACTTTAGGATACAATAAAAACCTATAGAGAATACTATCTATAGCATGGAGAACACTCTCTATATTCTCCTCAGTCAATAAATTCTGATGGAACTGAACCAATGCGCAGAGGTACATCAGAGAAGAACGGGATACTTCACAATATGCAATGGAATGGCAATCTGAGTTATTCCGTGCAACAAATTAGAGGTGCAAGTACATGAATCGATAAGAAGAGGCTATCTGAAAGCCTAAACACAAGGTAATTGAAAGTGTAATACTATTCTCTATGAGCCAAAAAATAATTTTTAGACACCCACGTGAACGTTGTCTGTTGCTGACATGCAGAGACTTTGCAGATATACCGGAGGTATTGACATCTTGCTAATTTCTTATAACAGACAGAATCGATAAGATGAGACAGGATAACAGATCGCCTTTCCGTTACAAAATCGCTTCTGCCAAGATACACTGGAGTTAGAAAGAGGGATAACAGCATAAATTCTGATCAAACTACTTTAAAATTGCATCTTGAACTCATCTATTGCGATACATGCACAATATATCCTTCATCTGAACGTGATTATCATAATAATGACCGTCTCACCTTTCCATATGATCATCTTAATATCATCAAGATGTCAATCAAACGTAGTTCTCAGTACTTGTTAAGTGAAAGTGCGGCTTATGTTCCCCCATTTGAATGAGATGGGTACAGATGTCTTCGTTTTACGAGGGTTGAGGATCTCTCATCACCTGTATGCCTATTGTATGCTCGCTACACCTCAATGAGTCTTCTTATGTGGATATGGTCAGTAGTACCAAATCCTTTTCGAAACCCTGCTTGCTCACATGGCTGTTCTTCGTCCAGTGTTCTGTCAATCGTGTTTAGGACGACTCGAGTGAAACGTTTGTAGACGACAGACAGCAAGCAGATTGGGCGATAGTTACCGATATCGTGTAGGTCACCCTTCTTGAACAATAACACGGTCTTGCTGGTCTTCCACTGACTAGGTACCTTCCATTCAGACAGGTAACGTGTGAAGAGCCGAGCCAGTGTGTTTACGAGGACTGGCGGAAGGTTCTTCAGGTATTCTGGTTTTATCCTGTCCGGACCTGGAGCTGTTCAATTTTTCACCGACGAAATGGCATGTCGGATTTCGGAAGGGAGAACCGGTGGTACAACATATCCATCCTCCTTTATTTCATATGAGAGCAGGAGAGCTTGGATGTTGAAGACATCTGTGTAGTAATCGTGAATTATTTTCTCCATTGCTTTCCTGAACGCTGTAACTGTTCCGTCTGGGCGCCGGAGTGCAATCATCTTGGTCTTGTAATTGGCTAAGCTTCGATGGGCTTTGCGAACGGTTTTCCCAGCCTCTGCAGCTTCGACCATTATTGCTGCTCTTCTCTGTTTAAGATCTTCTTTTATCGACTGTCTGCAAAGTTTTGCAAGCTCGGACGTTAGTTCGCGGTTGCCTGCAACTCGTGCGATTCCACGCTAGAGTATCAGCACGAGTGTTTCTGGACACCGTCGTCTATTGGTGACTTTCGAACTCTCAGCTTTCATAGGGCTAACGTGAAGATGTTGAATGCGCCGATCGTACTCATCGTCGATGTTATCGACAACGGCATCTTCCCAACAGCCAACTAATGGATTGAATAAGTCCCAGTTTGCGGTGGTTCTGCAACTTCGGTTTTAGAATTTAGCGGCTTTTTCTTCTTTCCGAGAGAAATAGAATCTTGCATGAAGGAAACGATGGTCTGATCCGGTGTAGAATTTCGGAACAACAGCGAAATCCCTAAGGCAAAACCTTCGATTTACTGTGATGTGGTCTATTTCGTCACGGTATTCTCCAATGGGAGACTCCCACTTTCGCGGTTCTGAGTGGGGCTTCTGAAATTTCTAGCTATCATGAATGGTTTTGGTCGTCGTGATAAACCCAGGCAGCCGCTTACCCTACTCATCCCGTTCTAATCTGTGGGTCCGAATTTGACGTTTTTCTGGTTCCAGTTTTAGCGTTAAAATCTCTAATGACAATCTTTTAGAAAGTACAGTCTCTCCATAAAACTTCTCCGAGTCCGTATAGAAATCGCCAGTATCGATCCGCATCTTCAACCGTAAACGTTCGATTCAGGTCGTTAGTTGTTCAAATGAATCATATTCTTGGGCAAAATTGTGTTGACAGGAAAGCCGATGGCGTCGACTTCTCTACTGTCGCATGTTCAAAGAAGCATTTCTTCTCCGGAGTCACAGAGGACGGTGAATGGGTGGCCTTTCCTTTCTTGCCTCGGCCAGTCCGATGACGTCGTACCATATCCTTCTTGCTGACAAAGTCAACTCTTTTATCGAGGACTCAGATGAAAGTGGACATGCATTGTAGGTACAGATCGTCACCGTAGTCCTTTGTGATTCAAGCAGTCTAGAATGGACATGAGATTTTAATATCCCCTCCGTACTCGCCTTATCTATCCAGCGCTACCATATCGGGAACTTTTCGAGGTCAGAGAACGGGCCCGATTATTTTACTATGTCCAGCTTTTTCATATCCACGTATAACTTGTTCAAATCCGAACATGCGAGCTGGATATACTCGCGGGTAGCTTGCCAGTCTCTCCCAAAGTGGACATGGAGCTTATTTGTTAAAAGCAGCACAAAACCGCCTCCCATATACTTCCCAGTCACTTGATTGCAGGCTTTTGGCCGAATTGACTCGTAGAATACAATACGCATAAGCACGAACGCACCCACACATGCATGCATGAATACGTCTAGCAAATACAGAAAGTATGTGCCAAATCGGCGCAACAGAAACAGAGAGTCCATCCTTTGGATTCACTTGCATCTCAGGAAAGCAATGGGCACTTCTGGTCCGCGACTGATCCCCATCCGCCACCTAGGGACACGCCACGCTGCCTCGCGACTAACCGACACGAGATCCTACTGTGATGGAGATGAGGATCTCTCATAATCTTTGGTAAATATGAAAGGCAAACAGTCGCCTGGCGAGTTATCCTGGAAAGATCCGAGTTTCATACGATGTCCTTGCAATCGCTATTGGCGTTATAGACCACTGAGCAAGGAATCTCGTAACGATGAGTGGTGACCATCTCCGCTCAGGAGCACTGATGCGAACTGGAGTTTTTCCTTCTGCACTGAAACCTAGCGATGCGTTGAGAAATTTTAAACAAACGGTAAATATGGAAATCAGAAATGCATCCATGGTTTTATTGCGCACAAAAATATGTACTGCAACAGCATCTTTATGAAGAAAGAATAAGTAGTCAATTATTAATAATTACCTCAAGTATTAACTAAGTATTGACAGTTAATAGTCCAAGTAATTAAATTTGAAAAAATTTTAAGATTTCAGAAAAGTTAAAAATTAAAGAATTTCTTCAAAAAAATTTTAGAAGCTTAAACAAAAAATTTTTAAGTTAAATAAAATAAAGTTCCTAAATTTGTAATTTTTAAATTTTTAAAATAATATACAGTTCAGATTATTTAAATTTCTTAGAAAAAACATTTTTTTATAAAATAAAATTGAAAACTTAACTAAGTATTAATAGCGGTATTAAAGACTACTCCGTAACTTCGATTTTTGCACTGGGTTTTAAACACATTAGAATTAAAACACATTTTTCAAAAAGGTACAGGCGAATTCCGCCATGAAAAAATTTTGCACTGCTAGTGACTATGCATCTTTTTGGAGCGATTTCGGCATCTGCCTAGTTGTTAGCGATTTTCTAACCAAGTGTGTTCGCCCATGGCTGTAGTGTTCTTCAAGCAAGGTTATGTCCAGCATTCCACTATCACAAAATCATTGCTACCTGTGAATCCAGATGGTTGAAATAAACCATCAACACATCCACTCATGGTGGTCGTTGACAGCACTTTTGCTTCGCTTCGCTTAAAGTCAGCTACAAGTAACTAAGTAGTAGTTCTAACCAAACAGCCACCAAAACGCTCGAAAAATTAGCAGATCGCTGTCGAAAAGCTCGATGAATATACTATGTGGAACAACATCGGCTCGAGAGCGTGAGAAACACAACTGGTCTTTTAGCAGAAATAGCTTCTAATTCTTGGTTCATTTTATCGATATTCCGACCTACAGAACATGTAGGTGATTATCGTGTTTTGCTCAGAACTTACCTGGTAACTACGACTTACCCTGTGTTTCGTCCAATTGATGTGATGTTCATCTATTCTGCTTTTTGACTTTCCAGTTCGCTCAAAGTATCTCAAAGGTCCTAACCCCCTCACCTCCATCAAGAGACCTTTGGAACCCAAATTTCGCTATCAAAAGAACCACTAAATTTTCTGGCCAATTACAATGTGGACATTGCAGGAAATTCTTAGTTTTCCGTATAACTTCGAGTAGCTAAAAAACCAACCATTAATTCCAAGAATCCGGAAATGAACCGCAAAGAGGAGTGCCTCATACTCACGCGTGACATTGGGCAGCACATAAGCCTGTTATTCTCATGGGATAGGCACATTGCGATTCCATGTGAAAGTACATGTACATGTGTCTACGTGAATGTGCGGTAGGTCTTCACGTGAAATATTCAATGAAAGATTCATAAAAAGCGGTGAGTGTGCAAAGAAGCTATTCTGTGTTCAATGTGATTGAAATCTTGGTTTAGCGTTTTCTCTGTTTGGTTACGAAGGCGTTTGGCATGGTGGATTGCGGTCAACCTAACCTTTCCAGGCTCTGAGGAAGGCGAAATCCGCTGATGGGTCAGCTTGTGCGTAAACAAAGAAACAAAATAATAGCTCGTGTTTCCTAAACAGAAATGTAAAAAACCAACTTGTACACTAAATTCTTTGAAAAATACAGGAAGAGATGCACTTGTTAGAGAGAAGCGTAAGAACTACAAGATGTAAGATTTTAGAATGGAAGCACAAGATTTGCTTCATGATGGGAACAGAACTGACTGCTCAGAGCACTGAATTTCGCATGGAAGTTGAACGTTTACAAAACGAGTGAGCTCATGAGAACATGGGATGTTATTATCACCGTTCCAAATAAACCGCATTTAACACAGCTTGAATATGGAACTGCAAAACAGGGAAAATGTAGAAAATATCACACGCAAGAAGAAACTCAACAATCCCACAGGTACACCTAAACAATCTGCAAAACGCTACACATCGCTGCTATCCATTAAACAAACCACGCTAAAATCTTAGCGATAGAAAAAAGTTCCTGAACTCGTAATAGTTAACAGTGCAGGAGTACAATCGTAATGTGTATTAACATTAAGCTCTCCTCTTAAACAGACGAAGCGTCGCTGTTCACTTTAAACGGCAGCAGTTTCTTCAGTGACCGCTCCCTTCATCAACGAAAATTCCCCACTTATGTAACAATCTCGTCCAAGAGCTCTGTTTTTTTTTCTACAGAATACCGACCCTATGAAATGGATTTCGGGGCCATATGCAAGCATTGTGATGTTTTCAATATGCTATAGACTGATTACAAAGGAATGCAAAAAAAAAAAATATGAACAGAGCAAAATAAACGGCCGCAAATAAAATGACTGGACATCCACTCATACCGGTCCTCAAGTCCTGACTTATAACTTAATGTAATCTTCAAAACTTAATGTAAAAGGCGGGAACACCTGCAATGAAAACAGTGGTGGAAACAACAGTTTGCGACAAGCGACAACTATTGGTATTGGCCGACAATGGTACAACCCTACCTTGTTCACCATCATCCCTCTTTTATCCTTCCAGTGCCATGAAAGAGGACAAATTCATAAATACGTCTTTACATTATTTATAAGAACTATGTCGAAACCGAATTGTTTACCTCGAAATACAATTTATGTTTATAGAAATTTATGCAACAGAATGCTAATCAGTAATCAAAACGCTTTCGATGGACATAATACCCGTAGTAACACAATGAGTAGAAATGGGTACATAATAAATGAAAAGGAAATAACAAAGATGACAGTAAATGGTAACAGAAATATAAAGGCTATAGAAATAGCAATATCAGCACCTCTAAAACCCGTTAAAAAGAGGTTACACATTCGACAGGTTCCACGACCAAGTAAGGCGAAGCTCGTTCATTCGCTGAGTAATGTTTCCGTTTGTCTCCTGACACGCTGCGAGATACTTATTGAGCGTGGACTTGGTACGAGCAAATAGCTTATGAACCAATTTCTCACAAAATACCTTAAAATGTAAAATTTCAAAAAAGTTTTCCTTTTCGACAAGTATAGGATCTTTTTCTAAGTAAAGATATGCTTAAAGGATAAGTAACCCTATCAGAAAAGTAACATTATAAGGTAGAATACTTTTACTATTACTGATTTCTTACCTCTAGATTGGTGTTTGCCCTGTCGCCGCACGTCATATCAGAAGTGCACCTCGCAGTGCAATCTCCGATCGTACAATCTGCATCAACTGTACAAGGGCGTTCATGAAGTGTGGCGCGTAGTCTTGACTCCGTATAAACCATATCACCGTCCATCAACACGAATCTGAAAAAAGAAATCTAAATCTAAATAATCTAACGTTACACAAGCAGTGAATACTGTACGTGATGCACATATTGATAGTAGGCAGCAATAAAGAGAAAAGTGTAGGATCCACATGATCTATCGTACCGTTTCGGATAATCAGCCGACAGTCCTAAATTGTCGAAACGAACATCACACCATTGTAGTGGCTCGTTGATAAACTCATGAAAAAGTTTAAGCGTTCCCATGATGTGGACAAGAATTTTGCCCTAAAATAAAGGGATTTTATCAGATTCTAAAAAACTGAGACATCGAAGGCTCTAACCTTGAGATTCATATAATAGTCTTTCATTCGAAAAGCAACGAGAGCTTCCGTGGAGTAGAAATGACCACATGTACCGATAATCTGTGTGTATAAGAATTTGGCCAATGTAGACTCTTGGTATATTCAAGAACAAATAGTATTTTCCTTGTTTATCGTAAGCTTTCATTGCAGATATGTACAAAGGATAATAAAAAAAGGATAAATCTCTTGGTATTGGTCAATTCCTGAAGGGTGCGTCATGCATTCGACTTCATTAAGCATCGTTAGAGGTGACTGAATGCATACCTGGCCTTTACAATGACTCAAGGTAGCCTACTGATGTATTGAATAAGTGCTGCCATCCTCTCAGACAGATCTGGTACCAATTTGCCGACGCTGAGGAGATAGGTTGGTGAGCAAAGAGCGCGGAGATGGATCCCATTCATGTGTCGCAAGGCGCCTCCGAACGCCGCGCTACACGCGCGTACAAACTATACATAATAGAATTGTACGTATTGGTCATTCTGGAAAAAAGTGCCGATTTCTGCAATCCATCTATGAACACTCACAATCGGTCCAGAAATAATGCTTTTATTTGAATAAGCGCCAATTAACCAATATTTTTGTATCGTGACAAAAATTAAATAACTCCACTTTGTTGCAATCTCCGAGAGCTTTACCGTCTTATCTTGGTAGGAATGTATTCCTAGGTAACGAATTGCGGTGCAAAGCGGGTGGTTTATCCACTAGCAGGGTCTCCCAAGTTGAAAAGAAGTCCAACGTTTCCATCCGGAAGCCCAGTGACGAGTAAACCAATACTAAAAATCGTCGCCCTAGTACCATTTAGCCGCAAAACCTCTTTGTAATCCACAAGGGCCAACTGTCGCCTTTGGTGATCATGACCTGAGGAAGGCTGCGGATAAGCTCATCTCGACACTATACAGCAAAACATCTCGGCAGTCTCGGCACCTAGTATGCTCATCTCTACGACGTCGGGCGGTAAGACAACCGGTGAGACGCGATCAAATTTCGGGTTGCACAAGACGTTACCGAAAACGGACATAATCAGCACGCCTACAACACGCCACTTCAGACTTCTATCCCCATTCTCTTCACACGGCTACTGGTCACATCAAATTCCATGTGATATGAAATTTCGAAGGAGCTGGTTTTGGTTTTAACAAATACACATCTATTTCCCATCTGTCAAACCATACCTAATACAAAACGTTATCATCGCACCTGACCATTCATTCTTCGTATACAGCTTCGCGTCAAAAGAAAGTCACTATCATCGACTGCTTGTCACTAAATTTTACACCTAATGAGAGCAAACTGGACGCGTTTTACAACCAGTTGGAAAACTAATCCGCAACGGGAGGTCCTATAAATCCGTTGTGGGAGACTTCGATGGTAAAGTTGGAACGGCCAACAAGAATGAATAGAGGATAGAGAAATCCGCAAGAGAACGAAATGGGTATGGGAACCGTCTCGTAGGACTCCTGCCCACAGCATGTCCCTTCCATAAGAATTCATTCTTCAAGAAGGAAGAAAACTGTCAATAGACATAAGTTTCTTGATAGCATGCCTCATGCTGAGATCGACTATATTTTCACGAAGAGAACATGATGCTCCTATTACATCTCAGGATGCCTAAATCAAATCAATGCTTCCTTCCAAGCGAAGAATCGATTCAGCAATAGGCTGGAAGAGAACTCCTGTCATCGTCCAAGAAAAATGATACAAGTTGCCCCTATCAAATCCAATCATTTCACCAACGACATCGTCAAGTTTTCAAGAAATACCAATGAAGCAGTGACGATACTAAATGAGCTCAGCGGAAGAGGAAAGATTGGATTGCGCATGATTAGGACGCAGTGCCAGTTCACGAAGAACCTATGTTGTGAAGGCGAATAAATCGAACCGGATGGTCCTCTTACTACAGAGGCCTCCTCTTAAGTGTATGTTAGACGGCAAACGAATATGGAAAACAACATGAAAAAGGAATTAGGTGGAAAAAGGCGAGCAGCATAGGAAGCATTCCGACCTCTCAAGGAAGCCAATAACCAATTAAAGGCCTCGGAAATATGGGCTCACCTTTTTGATCCAGTAGTCTTCCCAACGCTTTGTTATGCAGCAGAAATGTGGGCTGATACTTCAATCACGTCAAAGAATCTGTCCACTACATACAGAGCGTTTTAATGGACTTTTCTGAAATTTAGCCACCACTCACATCGTCCAACCGGAATACGCAACTTAGATCTTCAGAACCTATCTCATCTTCGAAATCCAAGAAAACGTGCAAAGACATCGAAAGACAGATGGGCCAGGCACATAATAAGGATAGATGACAGATGAAGTGGGCCACACGTAGCGCAGAGGTCGGAAGCGCCCTGCAATAAACATGGAATCGATCCACGCCCGTCAGGCCCACAAAGCCCTCCATCACTTCGGGGTCGGCAAATTGGTGTTAGACCTGCCTGAGAGGAAAATAGCACTGGCCCGATACATCAGTAGGCCACTGCGAGTCCCTGTTAAGTCCATATATGCATTCAATCACCTCCAACGATGCTTAGTGAAGCCGAATGCATGGCGTGTCTATCAGAGACAGATCAACGCCGAGAACTTTATTCTTTTTTTAAAGGATAGAAGGACGAAAAGAACAATGAAACGGACTCCAAGAGAATGCAAACATCCTCCTAGAACGCCGCCCAAACGATGGGTGGACGTGTTCGTGGCTAACGTCAACCACTACATCAGATGATGAAAACGATTTTAGGAATTGGTAGCGAGTCTCGCTGAAGTAACCATTTACGAAGCAGACCACTGCCATGGACGACGATTGCGCAAAAGAGGAACGAATGGAAATTATGCTGAAGCCCCCACAAGGAGTCAAGACGAGCCATCCGAGTATCCTGGTATTTTATTAAAAAAACCGCACTTCCATGACCGACAAGTTTAAATGGCATTTTTGAGGTCTTTTTAATTTTTTTATACCTTATCCCTAAGTTTGGCTTTCTAGAGACTGGAAACAAGTAAGGATAATATTTGGATAACAAAAGGTTCCATACTTCAGATTTTTATTTTATTCTGTAGCTGGATGGTGATCTATTAAACATGAGCGTTCCGGAAGGGCTCTTACGAGTGAGCAATTTTAAGCTATACATGTTTCAGCTTCGTGCACTTCCACCAAATGTTAACAGCGTGATTCCTTGTTGATAGCATAACCAGCCCAGACAGAAGAAAATGGAATAACCCCAATTTTATCCACCTGGAAGTGAATAAGGTCTTATTTCCATACATTTTGGGGCTATTCTTCTAAGATTCATTAGCTAAAGAGACAGTCCCGCGTATTCGCAAAGAATCCGTTTATACTATATCTTATACTTCGGTCAATGAACGGCTAGATAGAGATTCTCGTACGTAAAAATTTGGAACTATCATCACTCCTGCATATTCTACCAGATTGGATACGCTTTCTTCGAGCTAGCACAGCTTCCTACTTTTCTTCTCACACCTTTACAAATCTAAGTGGACTCTACGGCGGAAGATCTTAAAATTCACTCTGAGAGTACCTCCAAGATTGCTTGTCGCAGATCATTTTCGATTAATAACCCTCCATCTTCATTTGCTTAACACGTTATGATTCACGCTTGAAAATAGTACAGCCTGTTGTTTCGTTCTGCAACTGGTCGTCATCTACAGTTCGCTCGATAAGCTGTTGTATATTCTCACAATCAACATCACTATATGACTACCAAGTTTGAATCCGTGAAGTAAAACCATCCAAAACACTCCGTTGTCAAAGTCAGCGGAAGAGTTTCCTAATTAATAAGAAAAAAATTGCAGAAACACCTGAGAAGGAAGTTAAATTGGCGAATACATAGTGAATTTATTAGAACACAATTGCTGACGTTTCGGCGGTTTCGCCTTCTTCAGAGCCTGGAAAGGTCAAATTGAGATGCGATCTACTCAGCCAAACACTTTCATAACCCTAGCAGATAAAACTTGATAAATCGATTTGTGTTCGCATAAGAAACAGCTTCATTCAAACACCTACCGTTTATTTGTCGTAAGTATTTAAGTTAGTTGGTGGATAGCCGCCGCACAGAGTAATACATGGTCGATAACTGGGTCCATGTCAGATCATTGGATCAGCCTGAGGTATGGCGCTAGGTCACGCGTGATGACAAGACACTCCTCCTTGCGGTTCATTTTTGAATTTTTGGCATTGATCCAAAACGCTTCAAGAGTTTTTCGCGCTGATGTTTTCGATTCCTGCGTAAGGATAGTGACTCCTACCTCAAAATCTTCTCCGTTGTGTTCTTGCATCCTATGCGCGCCTAGTGGAGTATTGTGTTTTAGTTTAGATTTACCGACTAGGT